GGTCCATGAACTCACAAATGACGTCTTCACATTGAAGAAAAAACCTCGTTCCGGACGTTTGTAGCCCCAAGAAGCGAAAACAGCCGCACCTGTGCAGATCATGAGCAGGCAATTTTCCGTCGTGGAGGTCCCTGACCAATCGCTCTCGCTTCACTCCCATGCACTTTCCAGCATAATTGCAGGTCCATGAACTCACAAATGACGTCTTTACATTGAAGAAAAAACCTCGTTCCGGACGTCTGTAGCCCCATGAAGCGAAAACAGCCGCACCTGTGCAGATCATGAGCAGGCAATTTTCCGTCGTGGAGGTCCCTGACCAATCGCTCTCGCTTCACTCCCAAGCACTTTCCAGCATAATTGCAGGTCCATGAACTCACAAATGACGTCTTTACGTTGAAGAAAAAACCTCGTTCCGGACGTCTGTAGCCCCATGAAGCGAAAACAGCCGCACCTGTGCAGATCATGAGCAGGCAATTTTCCGTCGTGGAGGTCCCTGACCAATCGCTCTCGCTTCACTCCCAGGCACTTTCCAGCATAATTGCAGGTCCACGAACTCACAAATGACGTCTTCACATTGAAGAAAAAACCTCGTTCCAAACGTTTGTAGCCCCAAGAAGCGAAAACAGCCGCACCTGTGCAGATCATGAGCAGGCAATTTTCCGTCGTGGAGGTCCCTGACCAATCGCTCTCGCTTCACTCCCATGCACTTTCCAGCATAATTGCAGGTCCATGAACTCACAAATGACGTCTTTACATTGAAGAAAAAACCTCGTTCCGGACGTCTGTAGCCCCATGAAGCGAAAACTGGCGCACCTGTGCAGATCATGAGCAGGCAATTTTCCGTCGTGGAGGTCCCTGACCAATCGCTCTCGCTTCACTCCCAGGCACTTTCCAGCATAATTGCAGGTCCATGAACTCACAAATGACGTCTTTACATTGAAGAAAAAACCTCGTTCCGGACGTTTGTAGCCCCATGAAGCGAAAACAGCAGCACCTAAAACAGATCAGGAGCAGGCAATTTTCCGTCGTGAAGGTCCCTGACCAATCGCTCTCGCTTCACTCCCAGGCACTTTCCAGCATAATTGCAGGTCCATGAACTCACAAATGACGTCTTTACATTGAAGAAAAAACCTCGTTCCGGACGTCTGTAGCCCCATGAAGCGAAAACAGCCGCACCTGTGCAGATCATGAGCAGGCAATTTTCCGTCGTGGAGGTCCCTGACCAATCGCTCTCGCTTCACTCCCAGGCACTTTCCAGCATAATTGCAGGTCCATGAACTCACAAATGACGTCTTTACATTGAAGAAAAAACCTCGTTCCGGACGTTTGTAGCCCCATGAAGCGAAAACAGCCGCACATGTGCAGATCATGGAGCAGGCAATTTTCCGTCGTGGAGGTCCCTGACCAATCGCTCTCGCTTCACTCCCAGGCACTTTCCAGCATAACTACAGTTCGATGAACTCACAAATGACGTCTTTACATTGAAGAAAAAACCTCGTTCCGGACGTTTGTAGCCCCATGAAGCGAAAACAGCCGCACATGTGCAGATCATGGAGCAGGCAATTTTCCGTCGTGGAGGTCCCTGACCAATCGCTCTCGCTTCACTCCCAGGCACTTTCCAGCATAATTGCAGGTCCATGAACTCACAAATGACGTCTTTACATTGAAGAAAAAACCTCGTTCCGGACGTTTGTAGCCCCATGAAGCGAAAACAGCCGCACCTGTGCAGATCATGGAGCAGGCAATTTTCCGTCGTGGAGGTCCCTGACCAATCGCTCTCGCTTCACTCCCAGGCACTTTCCAGCATAATTGCAGGTCCATGAACTCACAAATGACGTCTTTACGTTGAAGAAAAAACCTCGTTCCGGACGTCTGTAGCCCCATGAAGCGAAAACAGCCGCACCTGTGCAGATCATGAGCAGGCAATTTTCCGTCGTGGAGGTCCCTGACCAATCGCTCTCGCTTCACTCCCAGGCACTTTCCAGCATAATTGCAGGTCCATGAACTCACAAATGACGTCTTCACATTGAAGAAAAAACCTCGTTCCGGACGTTTGTAGCCCCAAGAAGCGAAAACAGCCGCACCTGTGCAGATCATGAGCAGGCAATTTTCCGTCGTGGAGGTCCCTGACCAATCGCTCTCGCTTCACTCCCATGCACTTTCCAGCATAATTGCAGGTCCATGAACTCACAAATGACGTCTTTACATTGAAGAAAATGCCTCGTTCCGGACGTTTGTAGCCCCATGAAGCGAAAACAGCCGCACCTGTGCAGATCATGGAGCAGGCAATTTTCCGTCGTGGAGGTCCCTGACCAATCGCTCTCGCTTCACTCCCAGGCACTTTCCAGCATAATTGCAGGTCCATGAACTCACAAATGACGTCTTTACATTGAAGAAAATGTCAGAATATTATGCTCTAGCCTGCAGTGGGGTGCTCTATAGCGAGTACAACCCTTCTAGGGTTTGCTATTTGTATCCCATCCTTGCTAGTGCAAACCCCTTCCTTTGCTTCATTCTCTCTTGCCTAGCTAGGTCATCCCTAGCTATGGCCTCTTACTATACCTACTATTCCGACTTGGTATCAGAGCGGTTACGCTCTTGGCCTGTGGGCCCCACTACTGCTTCCGCTGCCCTACTCTGTGCCGCGCGCCCCGTGGCGCGCGGCCTTCAATTTTTCATCCCGCCGCGCGCTCGGGGCGCGCGGCGGTTCCCTGCCCGCCGTGCGCGCCGAGGCGCGCGGCGGTTTCCAGCCGTGGGGGAGCCCGCGCGCACCCCGCCCGTCCGTCGCGGCGCCCTGGGGAGCACTCGCGGCCCCCACCCTGCACGTCGCGTCGCCCCCGTCGACCCTCGCGTCGCCTCCGGGGACCCGCGCGCACCCCCCCACCGTCGACTCGCCTCCCGTCGCCCGTCGTGGCCTGCGCGCGGCCCGTACAGCCGGCGCGCGGCCCGTACGGGCTGCGCCAGGCCTGCGCGCGGCCCGTACGGGCTGCGCCAGGCCTGCGCGCGGCCCGTACGGGCTGCGCCAGGCCCGCGCGCGGCCCGTACGGGCTGCGCCAGGCCCGCGCGCGGCCCGTACGGGAAGCGCCAGGCCCGCGCGCGGCTCGGGCCGCCTGCGCGCGGTTCGGGCGGCTGTGCCAGGCCCGTGGGCGGCCCGTTCCTCGCTGCCCCTGCCCTCCCCACTGTCCCCCGTGCTTCTACTGGCGCCCCACCCCTCCTACAGCCCGTTCTCCTGAATTAGGGTTTGGGGGTGAGGGGTATGGGGGTGAAGACACTGCGTGCCGTTCCCTGCTCCTCCTCCTCCTCCCTAGTCTCCCTCTGCTACAGCTGCCGCTGAGGGGGGTGGTGTGTGGGAGCCTAGGGTTTGGGGTTTAAGGGGGGTGCCGTGGGAATGGAGCTAGGGTTTCAGCAGTGGGTGTGTGGGGGGTGTGTGGGGCAGTTGGAGGAGGTTGAGCGGAGGTTGCCGTCGTGTCGTTCGCAGCACCTGTATTCCGGGGTTCCGCGGACCTCCGGTAGCTCAGAGAGCCGGCTGCACCTGTCGCCCGTGGGTCCGCTGCACCCTCTGCAGCGGATATTACCCCTGTATTCCGGGGCTCTGCGTCCGGTAGCCACTAGAGTTGCACCAGTGCCGTCTGTTGCCCGTGTGTCTGCAGCTTCAGTCGTCGTCTCCACTCTTCTCTCCTCTCGCCAGCCCTCCTCCTCCTCGCTTGCCCTCTGTGACAGCTTTAGCTTTACCCATTATTGTGAACTTTAAACTATTGCCTTTTGAACTTGTGCTCAGAATGTGTGGTGACATTGTGATCCACCCTGAGCTTGTACTGCTTGCTTGTTCTGCTGATTACACCCCACTTTGGCTATGGGGGTGTGTCAGAATATTATGCTCTAGCCTGCAGTGGGGTGCTCTATAGCGAGTACAACCCTTCTAGGGTTTGCTATTTGTATCCCATCCTTGCTAGTGCAAACCCCTTCCTTTGCTTCATTCTCTCTTGCCTAGCTAGGTCATCCCTAGCTATGGCCTCTTACTATACCTACTATTTCGACAGAAAATACCTCGTTCCGGACGTTTGTAGCCCCATGAAGCGAAAACAGCCGCACCTGTGCAGATCATGGAGCAGGCAATTTTCCGTCGTGGAGGTCCCTGACCAATCGCTCTCGCTTCACTCCCAGGCACTTTCCAGCATAATTGCAGGTCCATGAACTCACAAATGACGTCTTTACATTGAAGAAAAAACCTCGTTCCGGACGTTTGTAGCCCCATGAAGCGAAAACAGCCGCACCTGTGCAGATCATGGAGCAGGCAATTTTCCGTCGTGGAGGTCCCTGACCAATCGCTCTCGCTTCACTCCCAGGCACTTTCCAGCATAATTGCAGGTCCGTGAACTCACAAATGACGACTTTATGTTGAAGAAAATGCCTCGTTCCGGACGTTTGTAGCCCCAAGAAGCGAAAACAGCCGCACCTGTGCAGATCATGGAGCAGGCAATTTTCCGTCGTGGAGGTCCCTGACCAATCGCTCTCGCTTCACTCCCAGGCACTTTCCAGCATAATTGCAGGTCCATGAACTCACAAATGACGTCTTTACATTGAAGAAAAAACCTCGTTCCGGACGTCTGTAGCCCCAAGAAGCGAAAACAGCCGCACCTGTGCAGATCATGAGCAGGCAATTTTCCGTCGTGGAGGTCCCTGACCAATCGCTCTCGCTTCACTTCCAGGCACTTTCCAGCATAATTGCAGGTCCATGAACTCACAAATGACGTCTTTACATTGAAGAAAAAACCTCGTTCCGGACGTCTGTAGCCCCATGAAGCGAAAACAGCCGCACCTGTGCAGATCATGAGCAGGCAATTTTCCGTCGTGGAGGTCCCTGACCAATCGCTCTCGCTTCACTCCCATGCACTTTCCAGCATAATTGCAGGTCCATGAACTTACAAATGACGTCTTTACATTGAAGAAAAAACCTCGTTCCGGACGTTTGTAGCCCCATGAAGCGAAAACAGCCGCACATGTGCAGATCATGGAGCAGGCAATTTTCCGTCGTGGAGGTCCCTGACCAATCGCTCTCGCTTCACTCCCAGGCACTTTCCAGCATAATTGCAGGTCCATGAACTCACAAATGACGTTATTAAATTGAAGAAAAAACCTCGTTCCGGACGTTTGTAGCCCCATGAAGCGAAAACAGCCGCACCTGTGCAGATCATGGAGCAGACAATTTTCCGTCGTGGAGGTCCCTGACCAATCGCTCTTGCTTCACTCCCAGGCACTTTCCAGCATAATTGCAGGTCCGTGAACTCACAAATGACGTCTTTACATTGAAGAAAATGCCTCGTTCCGGACGTTTGTAGCCCCATGAAGCGAAAACAGCCGCACTTGTGCAGATCATGGAGCAGGCAATTTTCCGTCGTGGAGGTCCCTGACCAATCGCTCTCGCTTCACTCCCAGGCACTTTCCAGCATAATTGCAGGTCCGTGAACTCACAAATGACGTCTTTACATTAAAGAAAAAACCTCGTTCCGGACGTTTGTAGCCCCATGAAGCGAAAACAGCCGCACCTGTGCAGATCATGAGCAGGCAATTTTCCGTCGTGGAGGTCCCTGACCAATCGCTCTCGCTTCACTCCCAGGCACTTTCCAGCATAATTGCAGGTCCGTGAACTCACAAATGACGTCTTTACATTCCTCGTTCCGGACGTTTGTAGCCCCATGAAGCGAAAACAGCCGCACCTGTGCAGATCATGGAGCAGGCAATTTTCCGTCGTGGAGGTCCCTGACCAATCGCTCTCGCTTCACTCCCAGGCACTTTCCAGCATAATTGCAGGTCCATGAACTCACAAATGACGTCTTTACATTGAAGAAAAAACCTCGTTCCGGACGTCTGTAGCCCCATGAAGCGAAAACAGCCGCACATGTGCAGATCATGGAGCAGGCAATTTTCCGTCGTGGAGGTCCCTGACCAATCGCTCTCGCTTCACTTCCAGGCACTTTCCAGCATAATTGCAGGTCCATGAACTCACAAATGACGTCTTTACATTGAAGAAAAAACCTCGTTCCGGACGTCTGTAGCCCCAAGAAGCGAAAACAGCCGCACCTGTGCAGATCATGGAGCAGGCAATTTTCCGTCGTGGAGGTCCCTGACCAATCGCTCTCGCTTCACTCCCATGCACTTTCCAGCATAATTGCAGGTCCATGAACTCACAAATAACGTCTTTACATTGAAGAAAAAACCTCGTTCCGGACGTTTGTAGCCCCATGAAGCGAAAACAGCCGCACCTGTGCAGATCATGAGCAGGCAATTTTCCGTCGTGGAGGTCCCTGACCAATCGCTCTCGCTTCACTCCCAGGCACTTTCTAGCATAATTGCAGGTCCATGAACTCACAAATGACGTCTTTACATTGAAGAAAAAACCTCGTTCCGGACGTTTGTAGCCCCATGAAGCGAAAACAGCCGCACCTGTGCAGATCATGGAGCAGGCAATTTTCCGTCGTGGAGGTCCCTGACCAATCGCTCTCGCTTCACTCCCAGGCACTTTCTAGCATAATTGCAGGTCCATGAACTCACAAATGACGTTATTAAATTGAAGAGAAAACCTTGTTCCGGACGTTTGTAGCCCCATGAAGCGAAAACAGCCGCACCTGTGCAGATCATGGAGCAGACAATTTTCCGTCGTGGAGGTCCCTGACCAATCGCTCTCGCTTCACTCCCAGGCACTTTCCAGCATAATTGCAGGTCCGTGAACTCACAAATGACGTCTTTACATTGAAGAAAATGCCTCGTTCCGGACGTTTGTAGCCCCATGAAGCGAAAACAGCCGCACCTGTGCAGATCATGGAGCAGGCAATTTTCCGTCGTGGAGGTCCCTGACCAATCGCTCTCGCTTCACTCCCATGCACTTTCCAGCATAATTGCAGGTCCGTGAACTCACAAATGACGTCTTTACATTGAAGAAAAAACCTCGTTCCGGACGTTTGTAGCCCCATGAAGCGAAAACAGCCGCACCTGTGCAGATCATGAGCAGGCAATTTTCCGTCGTGGAGGTCCCTGACCAATCGCTCTCGCTTCACTCCCAGGCACTTTCCAGCATAATTGCAGGTCCATGAACTCACAAATGACGTCTTTACATTCCTCGTTCCGGACGTTTGTAGCCCCATGAAGCGAAAACAGCCGCACCTGTGCAGATCATGGAGCAGGCAATTTTCCGTCGTGGAGGTCCCTGACCAATCGCTCTCGCTTCACTCCCAGGCACTTCCGAGCATAATTGCAGGTCCATGAACTCACAAATGACGTCTTTACATTGAAGAAAAAACCTCGTTCCGGACGTTTGTAGCCCCATGAAGCGAAAACAGCCGCACCTGTGCAGATCATGGAGCAGGCAATTTTTCGTCGTGGAGGTCTCTGACCAATCGCTCTCGCTTCACTCCCAGGCACTTTCCAGCATAATTGCAGGTCCATGAACTCACAAATGACGTCTTTACATTGAAGAAAAAACCTCGTTCCGGACGTTTGTAGCCCCAAGAAGCGAAAACAGCCGCACCTGTGCAGATAATGGAGCAGGCAATTTTCCGTCGTGGAGGTCCCTGACCAATCGCTCTCGCTTCACTCCCACGCACTTTCCAGCATAATTGCAGGTCCACGAACTCACGAATGACGTCTTTACATTGAAGAGAAAACCTCGTTCCGGACGTTCGTAGCCCCAAGAAGCGAAAACAGCCGCACCTGTGCAGATAATGGAGCAGGCAATTTTCCGTCGTGGAGGTCCCTGACCAATCGCTCTCGCTTCACTCCCACGCACTTTCCAGCATAATTGCAGGTCCGTGAACTCACAAATGACGTCTTTACATTGAAGAAAATGCCTCGTTCCGGACGTTTGTAGCCCCATGAAGCGAAAACAGCCGCACCTGTGCAGATCATGGAGCAGGCAATTTTCCGTCGTGGAGGTCCCTGACCAATCGCTCTCGCTTCACTCCCAGGCACTTTCCAGCATAATTGCAGGTCCGTGAACTCACAAATGACGTCTTTACATTCCTCGTTCCGGACGTTTGTAGCCCCATGAAGCGAAAACAGCCGCACCTGTGCAGATCATGGAGCAGGCAATTTTCCGTCGTGGAGGTCCCTGACCAATCGCTCTCGCTTCACTCCCAGGCACTTTCCAGCATAATTGCAGGTCCATGAACTCACAAATGACGTCTTTACATTGAAGAAAAAACCTCGTTCCGGACGTCTGTAGCCCCATGAAGCGAAAACAGCCGCACATGTGCAGATCATGGAGCAGGCAATTTTCCGTCGTGGAGGTCCCTGACCAATCGCTCTCGCTTCACTTCCAGGCACTTTCCAGCATAATTGCAGGTCCATGAACTCACAAATGACGTCTTTACATTGAAGAAAAAACCTCGTTCCGGACGTCTGTAGCCCCAAGAAGCGAAAACAGCCGCACCTGTGCAGATCATGGAGCAGGCAATTTTCCGTCGTGGAGGTCCCTGACCAATCGCTCTCGCTTCACTCCCATGCACTTTCCAGCATAATTGCAGGTCCATGAACTCACAAATAACGTCTTTACATTGAAGAAAAAACCTCGTTCCGGACGTTTGTAGCCCCATGAAGCGAAAACAGCCGCACCTGTGCAGATCATGAGCAGGCAATTTTCCGTCGTGGAGGTCCCTGACCAATCGCTCTCGCTTCACTCCCAGGCACTTTCTAGCATAATTGCAGGTCCATGAACTCACAAATGACGTCTTTACATTGAAGAAAAAACCTCGTTCCGGACGTTTGTAGCCCCATGAAGCGAAAACAGCCGCACCTGTGCAGATCATGGAGCAGGCAATTTTCCGTCGTGGAGGTCCCTGACCAATCGCTCTCGCTTCACTCCCAGGCACTTTCTAGCATAATTGCAGGTCCATGAACTCACAAATGACGTTATTAAATTGAAGAGAAAACCTTGTTCCGGACGTTTGTAGCCCCATGAAGCGAAAACAGCCGCACCTGTGCAGATCATGGAGCAGACAATTTTCCGTCGTGGAGGTCCCTGACCAATCGCTCTCGCTTCACTCCCAGGCACTTTCCAGCATAATTGCAGGTCCGTGAACTCACAAATGACGTCTTTACATTGAAGAAAATGCCTCGTTCCGGACGTTTGTAGCCCCATGAAGCGAAAACAGCCGCACCTGTGCAGATCATGGAGCAGGCAATTTTCCGTCGTGGAGGTCCCTGACCAATCGCTCTCGCTTCACTCCCATGCACTTTCCAGCATAATTGCAGGTCCGTGAACTCACAAATGACGTCTTTACATTGAAGAAAAAACCTCGTTCCGGACGTTTGTAGCCCCATGAAGCGAAAACAGCCGCACCTGTGCAGATCATGAGCAGGCAATTTTCCGTCGTGGAGGTCCCTGACCAATCGCTCTCGCTTCACTCCCAGGCACTTTCCAGCATAATTGCAGGTCCATGAACTCACAAATGACGTCTTTACATTCCTCGTTCCGGACGTTTGTAGCCCCATGAAGCGAAAACAGCCGCACCTGTGCAGATCATGGAGCAGGCAATTTTCCGTCGTGGAGGTCCCTGACCAATCGCTCTCGCTTCACTCCCAGGCACTTCCGAGCATAATTGCAGGTCCATGAACTCACAAATGACGTCTTTACATTGAAGAAAAAACCTCGTTCCGGACGTTTGTAGCCCCATGAAGCGAAAACAGCCGCACCTGTGCAGATCATGGAGCAGGCAATTTTTCGTCGTGGAGGTCTCTGACCAATCGCTCTCGCTTCACTCCCAGGCACTTTCCAGCATAATTGCAGGTCCATGAACTCACAAATGACGTCTTTACATTGAAGAAAAAACCTCGTTCCGGACGTTTGTAGCCCCAAGAAGCGAAAACAGCCGCACCTGTGCAGATAATGGAGCAGGCAATTTTCCGTCGTGGAGGTCCCTGACCAATCGCTCTCGCTTCACTCCCACGCACTTTCCAGCATAATTGCAGGTCCACGAACTCACGAATGACGTCTTTACATTGAAGAGAAAACCTCGTTCCGGACGTTCGTAGCCCCAAGAAGCGAAAACAGCCGCACCTGTGCAGATAATGGAGCAGGCAATTTTCCGTCGTGGAGGTCCCTGACCAATCGCTCTCGCTTCACTCCCACGCACTTTCCAGCATAATTGCAGGTCCGTGAACTCACGAATGACGTCTTTACATTGAAGAAAAAACCTCGTTCCGGACGTTTGTAGCCCCAAGAAGCGAAAACAGCCGCACCTGTGCAGATCATGGAGCAGGCAATTTTCCGTCGTGGAGGTCCCTGACCAATCGCTCTCGCTTCACTCCCAGGCACTTTCCACCATAATTGCAGGTCCGTGAACTCACAAATGACGTCTTTACATTGAAGAAAAAACCTCGTTCCGGACGTTTGTAGCCCCAAGAAGCGAAAACAGCCGCACCTGTGCAGATCATGGAGTAGGCAATTTTCCGTCGTGGAGGTCCCTGACCAATCGCTCTCGCTTCACTCCCAGGCACTTTCCAGCATAATTGCAGGTCCATGAACTCACAAATGACGTCTTTACATTGAAGAAAATGCCTCGTTCCGGACGTTTGTAGCCCCATGAAGCGAAAACAGCCGCACCTGTGCAGATCATGGAGCAGGCAATTTTCCGTCGTGGAGGTCCCTGACCAATCGCTCTCGCTTCACTCCCAGGCACTTTCCAGCATAATTGCAGGTCCGTGAACTCACAAATGACGTCTTTACATTGAAGGAAATGCCTCGTTCCGGACGTTTGTAGCCCCATGAAGCGAAAACAGCTGCACCTGTGCAGATCATGGAGCAGGCAATTTTCCATCGTGGAGGTCCCTGACCAATCGCTCTCGAGGCACACTCCAGCATAATTGCAGGTCCGTGAACTCACAAATGACGTCTTTACATTGAAGAAAATGCCTCGTTCCGGACGTTTGTAGCCCCATGAAGCGAAAACAGCCGCACCTGTGCAGATATTGGAGCAGGCAATTTTCCGTCGTGGAGGTCCCTGACCAATCGCTCTCGCTTCACTCCCAGGCACTTTCCAGCATAATTGCAGGTCCGTGAACTCACAAATGACGTCTTTACATTGAAGGAAATGCCTCGTTCCGGACGTTTCTAGCCCCATGAAGCGAAAACAGCTGCACCTGTGCAGATCATGGAGCAGGCAATTTTCCGTCGTGGAGGTCCCTGACCAATCGCTCTCGCTTCACTCCCAGGCACTTTCCAGCATAATTGCAGGTCCGTAAACTCACGAATGACGTCTTTGCATTGAAGAAAATGCCTCGTTCCGGACGTTTGTAGCCCCATGAAGCGAAAACAGCCGCACCTGTGCAGATCATAGAGCAGGCAATTTTCCGTCGTAGAGGTCCCTGACCAATCGCTCTCGCTTCACTCCCAGGCACTTTCTAGCATAATTGCAGGTCCATGAACTCACAAATGACGTTATTAAATTGAAGAAAAAACCTCGTTCCGGACGTTTGTAGCCCCATGAAGCGAAAACAGCCGCACCTGTGCAGATCATGGAGCAGACAATTTTCCGTCGTGGAGGTCCCTGACCAATCGCTCTCGCTTCACTCCCAGGCACTTTCCAGCATAATTGCAGGTCCGTGAACTCACAAATGACGTCTTTACATTGAAGAAAATGCCTCGTTCCGGACGTTTGTAGCCCCATGAAGCGAAAACAGCCGCACCTGTGCAGATCATGGAGCAGGCAATTTTCCGTCGTGGAGGTCCCTGACCAATCGCTCTCGCTTCACTCCCATGCACTTTCCAGCATAATTGCAGGTCCGTGAACTCACAAATGACGTCTTTACATTGAAGAAAAAACCTCGTTCCGGACGTTTGTAGCCCCATGAAGCGAAAACAGCCGCACCTGTGCAGATCATGAGCAGGCAATTTTCCGTCGTGGAGGTCCCTGACCAATCGCTCTCGCTTCACTCCCAGGCACTTTCCAGCATAATTGCAGGTCCATGAACTCACAAATGACGTCTTTACATTCCTCGTTCCGGACGTTTGTAGCCCCATGAAGCGAAAACAGCCGCACCTGTGCAGATCATGGAGCAGGCAATTTTCCGTCGTGGAGGTCCCTGACCAATCGCTCTCGCTTCACTCCCAGGCACTTCCGAGCATAATTGCAGGTCCATGAACTCACAAATGACGTCTTTACATTGAAGAAAAAACCTCGTTCCGGACGTTTGTAGCCCCATGAAGCGAAAACAGCCGCACCTGTGCAGATCATGGAGCAGGCAATTTTTCGTCGTGGAGGTCTCTGACCAATCGCTCTCGCTTCACTCCCAGGCACTTTCCAGCATAATTGCAGGTCCATGAACTCACAAATGACGTCTTTACATTGAAGAAAAAACCTCGTTCCGGACGTTTGTAGCCCCATGAAGCGAAAACAGCCGCACCTGTGCAGATAATGGAGCAGGCAATTTTCCGTCGTGGAGGTCCCTGACCAATCGCTCTCGCTTCACTCCCACGCACTTTCCAGCATAATTGCAGGTCCACGAACTCACGAATGACGTCTTTACATTGAAGAGAAAACCTCGTTCCGGACGTTCGTAGCCCCAAGAAGCGAAAACAGCCGCACCTGTGCAGATAATGGAGCAGGCAATTTTCCGTCGTGGAGGTCCCTGACCAATCGCTCTCGCTTCACTCCCACGCACTTTCCAGCATAATTGCAGGTCCGTGAACTCACGAATGACGTCTTTACATTGAAGAAAAAACCTCGTTCCGGACGTTTGTAGCCCCAAGAAGCGAAAACAGCCGCACCTGTGCAGATCATGGAGCAGGCAATTTTCCGTCGTGGAGGTCCCTGACCAATCGCTCTCGCTTCACTCCCAGGCACTTTCCACCATAATTGCAGGTCCGTGAACTCACAAATGACGTCTTTACATTGAAGAAAAAACCTCGTTCCGGACGTTTGTAGCCCCAAGAAGCGAAAACAGCCGCACCTGTGCAGATCATGGAGTAGGCAATTTTCCGTCGTGGAGGTCCTTGACCAATCGCTCTCGCTTCACTCCCAGGCACTTTCCAGCATAATTGCAGGTCCATGAACTCACAAATGACGTCTTTACATTGAAGAAAATGCCTCGTTCCGGACGTTTGTAGCCCCATGAAGCGAAAACAGCCGCACCTGTGCAGATCATGGAGCAGGCAATTTTCCGTCGTGGAGGTCCCTGACCAATCGCTCTCGCTTCACTCCCAGGCACTTTCCAGCATAATTGCAGGTCCGTGAACTCACAAATGACGTCTTTACATTGAAGGAAATGCCTCGTTCCGGACGTTTGTAGCCCCATGAAGCGAAAACAGCTGCACCTGTGCAGATCATGGAGCAGGCAATTTTCCGTTGTGGAGGTCCCTGACCAATCGATCTCTCTCGAGGCACACTCCAGCATAATTGCAGGTCCGTGAACTCACAAATGACGTCTTTACATTGAAGAAAATGCCTCGTTCCGGACGTTTGTAGCCCCATGAAGCGAAAACAGCCGCACCTGTGCAGATATTGGAGCAGGCAATTTTCCGTCGTGGAGGTCCCTGACCAATCGCTCTCGCTTCACTCCCAGGCACTTTCCAGCATAATTGCAGGTCCGTGAACTCACAAATGACGTCTTTACATTGAAGGAAATGCCTCGTTCCGGACGTTTCTAGCCCCATGAAGCGAAAACAGCTGCACCTGTGCAGATCATGGAGCAGGCAATTTTCCGTCGTGGAGGTCCCTGACCAATCGCTCTCGCTTCACTCCCAGGCACTTTCCAGCATAATTGCAGGTCCGTGAACTCACAAATGACGTCTTTACATTGAAGAAAATGCCTCGTTCCGGACGTTTGTAGCCCCATGAAGCGAAAACAGCCGCACCTGTGCAGATCATGGAGCAGGCAATTTTCCGTCGTGGAGGTCCCTGACCAATCGCTCTCGCTTCACTCCCAGGCACTTTCCAGCATAATTGCAGGTCCGTGAACTCACAAATGACGTCTTTACATTGAAGAAAAAACCTCGTTCCGGACGTTTGTAGCCCCATGAAGCGAAAACAGCCGCACCTGTACAGATATTGGAGCAGGCAATTTTCCGTCGTGGAGGTCCCTGACCAATCGCTCTCGCTTCACTCCCAGGCACTTTCCAGCATAATTTCAGGTCCATGAACTTACAAATGACATCTTTACATTGAAGAAAATGCCTCGTTCCGGACGTTTGTAGCCCCATGAAGCGAAAACAGCCGCACCTGTGCAGATCATGGAGCAGGCAATTTTCCGTCGTGGAGGTCCCTGACCAATCGCTCTCGCTTCACTCCCAGGCACTTTCCAGCATAATTGCAGGTCCGTGAACTCACAAATGACGTCTTCACATTGAAGAAAATGCCTCGTTCCGGACGTTTGTAGCCCCATGAAGCGAAAACAGCCGCACCTGTGCAGATCATGGAGCAGGCAATTTTCCGTCGTGGAGGTCCCTGACCAATCGCTCTCGCTTCACTCCCAGGCACTTTCCAGCATAATTGCAGGTCCGTGAACTCACAAATGACGTCTTTACGTTGAAGAAAAAACCTCGTTCCGGACGTCTGTAGCCCCATGAAGCGAAAACAGCCGCACCTGTGCAGATCATGGAGCAGGCAATTTTCCGTCGTGGAGGTCCCTGACCAATCGCTCTCGCTTCACTCCCAGGCACTTTCCAGCATAATTGCAGGTCCATGAACTCACAAATGACGTCTTTACATTGAATAAAAAACCTCGTTCCGGACGTTTGTAGCCCCATGAAGCGAAAACAGCCGCACCTGTGCAGATATTGGAGCAGGCAATTTTCCGTCGTGGAGGTCCCTGACCAATCGCTCTTGCTTCACTCCCAGGCACTTTCCAGCATAATTGCAGGTCCATGAACTCACAAATGACGTCTTTACATTGAATAAAAAACCTCGTTCCGGACGTTTGTAGCCCCATGAAGCGAAAACAGCCGCACCTGTGCAGATATTGGAGCAGGCAATTTTCCGTCGTGGAGGTCCCTGACCAATCGCTCTCGCTTCACTCCCAGGCACTTTCCAGCATAATTGCAGGTCCATGAACTCACAAATGACGTCTTTACATTGAATAAAAAACCTCGTTCCGGACGTTTGTAGCCCCATGAAGCGAAAACAGCCGCACCTGTGCAGATATTGGAGCAGGCAATTTTCCGTCGTGGAGGTCCCTGACCAATCGCTCTCGCTTCACTCCCAGGCACTTTCCAGCATAATTGCAGGTCCATGAACTCACAAATGACGTCTTTACATTGAAGAAAATGCCTCGTTCCGGACGTTTGTAGCCCCATGAAGCGAAAACAGCCGCACCTGTGCAGATCATGGAGCAGGCAATTTTCCGTCGTGGAGGTCCCTGACCAATCGCTCTCGCTTCACTCCCAGGCACTTTCCAGCATAATTGCAGGTCCATGAACTCACAAATGACGTCTTTACATTGAAGAAAATGCCTCGTTCCGGACGTTTGTAGCCCCATGAAGCGAAAACAGCCGCACCTGTGCAGATCATGGAGCAGGCAATTTTCCGTCGTGGAGGTCCCTGACCAATCGCTCTCGCTTCACTCCCAGGCACTTTCCAGCATAATTGCAGGTCCATGAACTCACAAATGACGTCTTTACGTTGAAGAAAAAACCTCGTTCCGGACGTCTGTAGCCCCAAGAAGCGAAAACAGCCGCACCTGTGCAGATCATGGAGCAGGCAATTTTCCGTCGTGGAGGTCCCTGACCAATCGCTCTCGCTTCACTCTCAGGCACTTTCCAGCATAATTGCAGGTCCATGAACTCACAAATGACGTCTTTACATTGAAGAAAAAACCTCGTTCCGGACGTTTCTAGCCCTATGAAGCGAAAACAGTCGCACCTGTGCAGATCATGGAGCAGGCAATTTTCCGTCGTAGAGGTCCCTGACCAATCGCTCTCGCTTCACTCCCAGGTGTCAGAATGTTATTGTCTAGCCTGCAGTGGGGTGCTCAATAGTGAGTACAACCCCTTAGGGTTTCCTATTTGTATCCTGCTGCTTGCTAGTTCATCATCATTCCCATTCTCACAATTCTCCTTCGTATACCACAAACCCTAGTCCTAGGGCACAACCTACTACCTCCTAGTGTGGGCCTAGGCTACTAAGCCTAGGCCCCACTCCTAGTATTCCTGACATGGTATCAGAGCAGGCACGTTCCTGCCGCCTTCCTGTATGGGCCCACCACCTGCTTCCGCTGCCGTACTGTCCGCCGCGCGCCCCGTGGTGCGCGGCGGCCAAACCCTAATTTTTCATCCCGCCGCGCGCTCGGAGCGTGCGGCGGTTCTCTGCCAGCCGTGCGCCCCGAGGCGCGCGGCGGTTTTCTGCCCGCCGTGCGCCCCGAGGCGCGCGGCGGTTTTCTGCCCGCCGTGCGCCCCGAGGCGCGCGGCGGCTTTCTGCCCCGTCACTCCGCGAGTCGCCCCCGGGAGGAGCTGCGACGGGCGACGGGGAGCCGCGCGTCGCCCCCCGTCGCCCGTCGTGGCCCGAGCGACCTCCGTAGGGCCCGCGCGCGGCCCGTCCAGCCTGCGCGCGGCCCGTACGGGCTGCGCCAGGCCCGCGCGCGGCCCGTACGGGCTGCGCCAGGCCCGCGCGCGGCCCGTACGGGCTGCGCCAGGCCCGCGCGCGGCCCGTACGGACTGCGCCAGGCCATGGCGCACCTGGAGCCACCCGCAACTGCTGCAGCAGCCCCTGGAGCCGCCAGCACCTGCAGCAGCAGCCCCTGGAGCCGCCAGCACCTGCAGCAGCAGCCCCTTGGACCCGCCCGCAACTGCTGCAGAAGCCACTGGAGCCGCCAGCAACTGCAGCAGCAGCCCCTGGAGCCGCCAGCAACTGCAGCAGCCGCCCCTGGAGCAGATCATGGATGTCTGTTCCGGATGTCTGTAGCCCCATGAAGCAAAAACAGCCGCACCTGTGCAGATCATGGAGCAGGCAATTTTCCGTCGTGGAGGTCCCTGACCAATCGCTCTCGCTTCACTCCCAGGCACTTTCCAGCATAATTGCAGGTCCATGAACTCACAAATGACGTCTTTACGTTGAAGAAAAAACCTCGTTCCGGACGTCTGTAGCCCCATGAAGCGAAAACAGCCGCACCTGTGCAGATCATGGAGCAGGCAATTTTCCGTCGTGGAGGTCCCTGACCAATCGCTCTCGCTTCACTCCCAGGCACTTTCCAGCATAATTGCAGGTCCATGAACTCACAAATGACGTCTTTACGTTGAAGAAAAAACCTCGTTCCGGACGTCTGTAGCCCCAAGAAGCGAGAACAGCCGCACCTGTGCAGATCATGGAGCAGGCAATTTTCCGTCGTGGAGGTCCCTGACCAATCGCTCTCGCTTCACTCCCAGGCACTTTCTAGCATAATTGCAGGTCCATGAACTCACAAATGACGTCTTTACATTGAAGAAAAAACCTCGTTCCGGACGTCTGTAGCCCCAAGAAGCGAAAACAGCCGCACCTGTGCAGATCATGGAGCAGACAATTTTCCGTCGTGGAGGTCCCTAACCAATCGCTCTCGCTTCACTCCCAGGCACTTTCCAGCATAATTGCAGGTCCATGAACTCACAAATGACGTCTTCACATTGAAGAAAAAACCTCGTTCCGGACGTCTGTAGCCCCAAGAAGCGAAAACAGCCGCACCTGTGCAGATCATGAGCAGGCAATTTTCCGTCGTGGAGGTCCCTAACCAATCGCTCTCGCTTCACTCCCAGGCACTTTCCAGCATAATTGCAGGTCCATGAACTCACAAATGACGTCTTCACATTGAAGAAAAAACCTCGTTCCGGACGTCTGTAGCCCCAAGAAGCGAGAACAGCCGCACCTGTGTAGATCTGGAGCAGGCAATTTTCCGTCGTGGAGGTCCCTGACCAATCGCTCTCGCTTCACTCCCAGGCACTTTCCAGCATAATTGCAGGTCCATGAACTCACAAATGACGTCTTCACATTGAAGAAAAAACCTCGTTCCGGACGTCTGTAGCCCCATGAAGCGAAAACAGCCGCACCTGTGCAGATCATGGAGCAGGCAATTTTCCGTCGTGGAGGTCCCTGACCAATCGCTCTCGCTTCACTCCCAGGCACTTTCCATCACAATTGCAGGTCCGTGAACTCACAAATGACGTCTTTACATTGAAGAAAAAACCTCGTTCCGGACGTCTGTAGCCCCAAGAAGCGAGAACAGCCGCACCTGTGCAGATCATGGAGCAGGCAATTTTCCGTCGTGGAGGTCCCTGACCAATCGCTCTCGCTTCACTCCCAGGCACTTTCCAGCATGATTGCAGGTCCGTGAACTCACAAATGACGTCTTTACATTGAAGAAAAAACCTCGTTCCGGACGTCTGTAGCCCCAAGAAGCGAGAACAGCCGCACCTGTGCAGATCATGGAGCAGGCAATTTTCCGTCGTGGAGGTCCCTGACCAATCGCTCTCGCTTCACTCCCATGCACTTTCCAGCATGATTGCAGGTCCATGAACTCACAAATGACGTCTTTACATTGAAGAAAAAACCTCGTTCCGGACGTCTGTAGCCCCATGAAGCGAAAACAGCCGCACCTGTGCAGATCATGGAGCAGGCAATTTTCCGTCGTGGAGGTCCCTGACCAATCGCTCTCGCTTCACTCCCAGGCACTTTCCAGCATGATTGCAGGTCCATGAACTCACAAATGACGTCTTTACATTGAAGAAAAAACCTCGTTCCGGACGTCTGTAGCCCCAAGAAGCGAGAACAGCCGCACCTGTGCAGATCATGGAGCAGGCAATTTTCCGTCGTGGAGGTCCCTGACCAATCGCTCTCGCTTCACTCCCAGGCACTTTCCAGCATGATTGCAGGTCCATGAACTCACAAATGACGTCTTTACATTGAAGAAAAAACCTCGTTCCGGACGTCTGTAGCCCCAAGAAGCGAGAACAGCCGCACCTGTGCAGATCATGGAGCAGGCAATTTTCCGTCGTGGAGGTCCCTGACCAATCGCTCTCGCTTCACTCCCAGGCACTTTCCAGCATGATTGCAGGTCCATGAACTCACAAATGACGTCTTTACATTGAAGAAAAAACCTCGTTCCGGACGTCTGTAGCCCCAAGAAGCGAGAACAGCCGCACCTGTGCAGATCATGGAGCAGGCAATTTTCCGTCGTGGAGGTCCCTGACCAATCGCTCTCGCTTCACTCCCAGGCACTTTCCAGCATGATTGCAGGTCCATGAACTCACAAATGACGTCTTTACATTGAAGAAAAAACCTCGTTCCGGACGTCTGTAGCCCCAAGAAGCGAAAACAGCCGCACCTGTGCAGATCATGGAGCAGGCAATTTTCCGTCGTGGAGGTCCCTGACCAATCGCTCTCGCTTCACTCCCAGGCACTTTCCAGCATAACTGCAGGTCCATGAACTCACAAATGACATCTTTACATTGAAGAAAAAACCTCGTTCCGGACGTCTGTAGCCCCAAGAAGCGAAAACAGCCGCACCTGTGCAGATCATGGAGCAGGCAATTTTCCGTCGTGGAGGTCCCTGACCAATCGCTCTCGCTTCACTCCCAGGCACTTTCCAGCATAACTGCAGGTCCATGAACTCACAAATGACGTCTTTACATTGAAGAAAAAACCTCGTTCCGGACGTCTGTAGCCCCAAGAAGCGAAAACAGCCGCACCTGTGCAGATCATGGAGCAGGCAATTTTTCGTCGTGGAGGTCCCTGACCAATCGCTCTCGCTTCACTTCCAGGCACTTTCCAGCATAATTGCAGGTCCATGAACTCACAAATGACGTCTTTACATTGAAGAAAAAACCTCGTTCCGGACGTCTGTAGCCCCAAGAAGCGAAAACAGCCGCACCTGTGCAGATCATGGAGCAGGCAATTTTCCGTCGTGGAGGTCCCTGACCAATCGCTCTCGCTTCACTCCCAGGCACTTTCCAGCATAACTGCAGGTCAATGAACCCACAAATGACGTCTTTACATTGAAGAAAAAGCCTCGTTTCGGACGTCTGTAGCCCCAAGAAGCGAAAACAGCCGCACCTGTGCAGATCATGGAGCAGGCAATTTTCCGTCGTGGAGGTCCCTGACCAATCGCTCTCGCTTCACTCCCAGGCACTTTCCAGCATAACTGAGGTCCATGAACCCACAAATGACGTCTTTACATTGAAGAAAAAGCCTCGTTTCGGACGTCTGTAGCCCCAAGAAGCGAAAACAGCCGCACCTGTGCAGATCATGGAGCAGGCAATTTTCCGTCGTGGAGGTCCCTGACCAATCGCTCTCGCTTCACTCCCAGGCACTTTCCACCATAATTGCAGGTCCATGAACTCACAAATGACGTCTTTACGTTGAAGAAAAAACCTCGTTCCGGACGTCTGTAGCCCCAAGAAGCGAAAACAGCCGCACCTGTGCAGATCATGGAGCAGGCAATTTTCCGTCGTGGAGGTCCCTGACCAATCGCTCTCGCTTCACTCCCAGGCACTTTCCAGCATAATTGCAGGTCCATGAACTCACAAATGACGTCTTTACGTTGAAGAAAAAACCTCGTTCCGGACGTCTGTAGCCCCATGAAGCGAAAACAGCCGCACCTGTGCAGATCATGGAGCAGGCAATTTTCCGTCGTGGAGGTCCCTGACCAATCGCTCTCGCTTCACTCCCAGGCACTTTCCAGCATAATTGCAGGTCCATGAACTCACAAATGACGTCTTTATGTTGATGAAAAAACCTCGTTCCGGACGTCTGTAGCCCCAAGAAGCGAAAACAGCCGCACCTGTGCAGATCATGGAGCAGGCAATTTTCCGTCGTGGAGGTCCCTGACCAATCGCTCTCGCTTCACTCCCAGGCACTTTCCAGCATAATTGCAGGTCCATGAACTCACAAATGACGTCTTTACGTTGAAGAAAAAACCTCGTTCCGGACGTCTGTAGCCCCAAGAAGCGAGAACAGCCGCACCTGTGCAGATCATGGAGCAGGCAATTTTCCGTCGTGGAGGTCCCTGACCAATCGCTCTCGCTTCACTCCCAGGCACTTTCTAGCATAATTGCAGGTCCATGAACTCACAAATGACGTCTTTACATTGAAGAAAAAACCTCGTTCCGGACGTCTGTAGCCCCAAGAAGCGAAAACAGCCGCACCTGTGCAGATCATGGAGCAGACAATTTTCCGTCGTGGAGGTCCCTAACCAATCGCTCTCGCTTCACTCCCAGGCACTTTCCAGCATAATTGCAGGTCCATGAACTCACAAATGACGTCTTCACATTGAAGAAAAAACCTCGTTCCGGACGTCTGTAGCCCCAAGAAGCGAAAACAGCCGCACCTGTGCAGATCATGAGCAGGCAATTTTCCGTCGTGGAGGTCCCTAACCAATCGCTCTCGCTTCACTCCCAGGCACTTTCCAGCATAATTGCAGGTCCATGAACTCACAAATGACGTCTTCACATTGAAGAAAAAACCTCGTTCCGGACGTCTGTAGCCCCAAGAAGCGAGAACAGCCGCACCTGTGCAGATCATGGAGCAGGCAATTTTCCGTCGTGGAGGTCCCTGACCAATCGCTCTCGCTTCACTCCCAGGCACTTTCCAGCATAATTGCAGGTCCATGAACTCACAAATGACGTCTTCACATTGAAGAAAAAACCTCGTTCCGGACGTCTGTAGCCCCATGAAGCGAAAACAGCCGCACCTGTGCAGATCATGGAGCAGGCAATTTTCCGTCGTGGAGGTCCCTGACCAATCGCTCTCGCTTCACTCCCAGGCACTTTCCATCACAATTGCAGGTCCGTGAACTCACAAATGACGTCTTTACATTGAAGAAAAAACCTCGTTCCGGACGTCTGTAGCCCCAAGAAGCGAGAACAGCCGCACCTGTGCAGATCATGGAGCAGGCAATTTTCCGTCGTGGAGGTCCCTGACCAATCGCTCTCGCTTCACTCCCAGGCACTTTCCAGCATGATTGCAGGTCCGTGAACTCACAAATGACGTCTTTACATTGAAGAAAAAACCTCGTTCCGGACGTCTGTAGCCCCAAGAAGCGAGAACAGCCGCACCTGTGCAGATCATGGAGCAGGCAATTTTCCGTCGTGGAGGTCCCTGACCAATCGCTCTCGCTTCACTCCCATGCACTTTCCAGCATGATTGCAGGTCCATGAACTCACAAATGACGTCTTTACATTGAAGAAAAAACCTCGTTCCGGACGTCTGTAGCCCCATGAAGCGAAAACAGCCGCACCTGTGCAGATCATGGAGCAGGCAATTTTCCGTCGTGGAGGTCCCTGACCAATCGCTCTCGCTTCACTCCCAGGCACTTTCCAGCATGATTGCAGGTCCATGAACTCACAAATGGCGTCTTTACATTGAAGAAAAAACCTCGTTCCGGACGTCTGTAGCCCCAAGAAGCGAGAACAGCCGCACCTGTGCAGATCATGGAGCAGGCAATTTTCCGTCGTGGAGGTCCCTGACCAATCGCTCTCGCTTCACTCCCAGGCACTTTCCAGCATGATTGCAGGTCCATGAACTCACAAATGACGTCTTTACATTGAAGAAAAAACCTCGTTCCGGACGTCTGTAGCCCCAAGAAGCGAGAACAGCCGCACCTGTGCAGATCATGGAGCAGGCAATTTTCCGTCGTGGAGGTCCCTGACCAATCGCTCTCGCTTCACTCCCAGGCACTTTCCAGCATGATTGCAGGTCCATGAACTCACAAATGACGTCTTTACATTGAAGAAAAAACCTCGTTCCGGACGTCTGTAGCCCCAAGAAGCGAGAACAGCCGCACCTGTGCAGATCATGGAGCAGGCAATTTTCCGTCGTGGAGGTCCCTGACCAATCGCTCTCGCTTCACTCCCAGGCACTTTCCAGCATGATTGCAGGTCCATGAACTCACAAATGACGTCTTTACATTGAAGAAAAAACCTCGTTCCGGACGTCTGTAGCCCCAAGAAGCGAGAACAGCCGCACCTGTGCAGATCATGGAGCAGGCAATTTTCCGTCGTGGAGGTCCCTGACCAATCGCTCTCGCTTCACTCCCAGGCACTTTCCAGCATAACTGCAGGTCCATGAACTCACAAATGACGTCTTTACATTGAAGAAAAAACCTCGTTCCGGACGTCTGTAGCCCCAAGAAGCGAAAACAGCCGCACCTGTGCAGATCATGGAGCAGGCAATTTTCCGTCGTGGAGGTCCCTGACCAATCGCTCTCGCTTCACTCCCAGGCACTTTCCAGCATAACTGCAGGTCAATGAACTCACAAATGACGTCTTTACATTGAAGAAAAAACCTCGTTCCGGACGTCTGTAGCCCCAAGAAGCGAAAACAGCCGCACCTGTGCAGATCATGGAGCAGGCAATTTTCCGTCGTGGAGGTCCCTGACCAATCGCTCTCGCTTCACTCCCAGGCACTTTCCAGCATAACTGCAGTCAATGAACCCACAAATGACGTCTTTACATTGAAGAAAAAGCCTCGTTTCGGACGTCTGTAGCCCCAAGAAGCGAAAACAGCCGCACCTGTGCAGATCATGGAGCAGGCAATTTTCCGTCGTGGAGGTCCCTGACCAATCGCTCTCGCTTCACTCCCAGGCACTTTCCAGCATAACTGCAGGTCCATGAACTCACAAATGACGTCTTTACATTGAAGAAAAAGCCTCGTTCTGAATGTCTGTAGCCCCAAGAAGCGAAAACAGCCGCACCTGTGCAGATCATGGAGCAGGCAATTTTTCGTCGTGGAGGTCCCTGACCAATCGCTCTCGCTTCACTCCCAGGCACTTTCCAGCATAATTGCAGGTCCATGAACTCACAAATGACGTCTTTACATTGAAGAAAAAGCCTCGTTCTGAATGTCTGTAGCCCCAAGAAGCGAAAACAGCCGCACCTGTGCAGATCATGGAGCAGGCAATTTTCCGTCGTGGAGGTCCCTGACCAATCGCTCTCGCTTCACTCCCAGGCACTTTCCAGCATAATTGCAGGTCCATGAACTCACAAATGACGTCTTTACATTGAAGAAAAAGCCTCGTTCTGAATGTCTGTAGCCCCAAGAAGCGAAAACAGCCGCACCTGTGCAGATCATGGAGCAGGCAATTTTCCGTCGTGGAGGTCCCTGACCAATCGCTCTCGCTTCACTCCCAGGCACTTTCCAGCATAATTGCAGGTCCATGAACTCACAAATGACGTCTTTACATTGAAGAAAAAGCCTCGTTCTGAATGTCTGTAGCCCCAAGAAGCGAAAACAGCCGCACCTGTGCAGATCATGGAGCAGGCAATTTTCCGTCGTGGAGGTCCCTGACCAATCGCTCTTGCTTCACTCCCAGGCACTTTCCAGTAAAATTGCAGGTCCATGAACTCACAAATGACGTCTTTACATTGAAGAAAAAACCTCGTTCCGGACGTCTGTAGCCCCAAGAAGCGAGAACAGCCGCACCTGTGCAGATCATGGAGCAGGCAATTTTCCGTCGTGGAGGTCCCTGACCAATCGCTCTTGCTTCACTCCCAGGCACTTTCCAGCATAATTGCAGGTCCATGAACTCACAAATGACGTCTTTACGTTGAAGAAAAAACCTCGTTCCGGACGTCTGTAGCCCCAAGAAGCGAGAACAGCCGCACCTGTGCAGATCATGGAGCAGGCAATTTTCCGTCGTGGAGATCCCTGACCAATCGCTCTCGCTTCACTCCCAAGCACTTTCCAGCATAATTGCAGGTCCATGAACTCACAAATGACGTCTTTACGTTGAAGAAAAAACCTCGTTCCGGACGTCTGTAGCCCCAAGAAGCGAGAACAGCCGCACCTGTGCAGATCATGGAGCAGGCAATTTTCCGTCGTGGAGGTCCCTGACCAATCGCTCTCGCTTCACTCCCAGGCACTTTCCAGCATAATTGCAGGTCCATGAACTCACAAATGACGTCTTTACGTTGAAGAAAAAACCTCGTTCCGGACGTCTGTAGCCCCAAGAAGCGAGAACAGCCGCACCTGTGCAGATCATGGAGCAGGCAATTTTCCGTCGTGGAGGTCCCTGACCAATCGCTCTCGCTTCACTCCCAGGCACTTTCCACCATAATTGCAGGTCCATGAACTCACAAATGACGTCTTTACGTTGAAGAAAAAACCTCGTTCCGGACGTCTGTAGCCCCAAGAAGCGAAAACAGCCGCACCTGTGCAGATCATGGAGCAGGCAATTTTCCGTCGTGGAGGTCCCTGACCAATCGCTCTCGCTTCACTCCCAGGCACTTTCCAGCATAATTGCAGGTCCATGAACTCACAAATGACGTCTTTACATTGAAGAAAAAGCCTCGTTCCGGATGTCTGTAGCCCCAAGAAGCGAAAACAGCCGCACCTGTGCAGATCATAGAGCAGGCAATTTTCCGTCGTGGAGGTCCCTGACCAATCGCTCTCGCTTCACTCCCAGGCACTTTCCAGTAAAATTGCAGGTCCATGAACTCACAAATGACATCTTTACATTGAAGAAAAAACCTCGTTCCGGACGTCTGTAGCCCCAAGAAGCGAAAACAGCCGCACCTGTGCAGATCATGGAGCAGGCAATTTTCCGTCGTGGAGGTCCCTGACCAATCGCTCTTGCTTCACTCCCAGGCACTTTCCAGCATAATTGCAGGTCCATGAACTCACAAATGACGTCTTTACATTGAAGAAAAAACCTCGTTCCGGACGTCTGTAGCCCCAAGAAGCGAGAACAGCCGCACCTGTGCAGATCATGGAGCAGGCAATTTTCCGTCGTGGAGATCCCTGACCAATCGCTCTCGCTTCACTCCCAGGCACTTTCCAACATAATTGCAGGTCCATGAACTCACAAATGACGTCTTTACATTGAAGAAAAAACCTCGTTCCGGACGTCTGTAGCCCCAAGAAGCGAGAACAGCCGCACCTGTGCAGATCATGGAGCAGGCAATTTTCCGTCGTGGAGGTCTCAAACATTATATGTTTATATTGTTCTAGGCTGTAGTGGGTGATACCTTAGGGGGTACACCTAGTTAGGGTTTCACATTTGTACTCCTGTTTCTCTTAGTCACACTCATTCCAGTCTCGTAATCTTGACATGGTTTCAGAGCAGGTCCTTCCCTAGGACCGTTCTTAAGGGCCCACCTACCTACCTACCTACATACCTATCAAGCGCCCCTAGTGCGCCTCCTATTGCGCCCCTAGTGCGCCATCTTTTTTTTACCGCGCGCGATCTGCTAGCCGCCCGCGCGCGGCCTATTTCGTGCGCGCGACCAGCCAGCAGCCCGCGCGCGGCCATTTTTCGCGCGCGGTTAGCTAGCCGCCAGCCCGCGCGGTTCTTTTTCTTCGCGCGCGGCCCGTCGCGCTGCCCGCGCGCCTTGTGTGCTGCGCTCGACCCCCCGCGCCTTCGTCGCCGCGGTCGGGCCTGCAGCAACAGCCGCGGCAGAGACTGCAGTCGCGGCCGTCGCAACTGCTGCAGCAGCCGCCGCCGCCTCTCCTGCCGCGGCCGCCGCTGCATCTACAGCAGCTGCAGCCGCCGCATCTACTGCAGCAGCCGCCGCTGCAGCTACAGCAGCAGCAGCCGCCGCATCTTCTGCAGCAGCCGCCGCTGCATCTACAGCAGCAGCAGCTGCCGCATCATCTACAGCAGCGGCCGCCGCCGCATCTACGGCAGCAGCAGCCGCCGCAATCTACAGTAGTGGCCGCAGCAGCTACAGCAGCATCAGCCGCCGCTGCCTCTGCAGCAGCAGCCGCCGCCGACCCAGCAGCAGCAGCCGCCGCCGATCCTGCAGCAGCCGCAACCGCCGAGTCTACTCCATCGGCCGCCGCCGGCCCTGCAGTCCCTACTGTAGCCGAACCTGCAGCAACTGCCGCCGCTGTCGCGACTGCCCCGGCCCTGCCTTGCCCTGCTGCTACTGTCACTGCCACGTTTATTACTTACTTTTCCTCCTCCTGCTACCATGGCTACTGCTCCTGTTCTAGCCTTCGACGCTGAGGGCCGCCCAGTGAAATTTGACACCTGGCTCGATGATCTGCACCTTTTCCTACAGCTCACTGCCAAGGAAGACATTTCACTGTACGACCACGCCCTAGGCCATGCTACTGCCCCTGACTCCTCTGCTGCTAGCACACTGCGCTCCCAGTGGCAGACCCGCGACGCACACGCTCGCTTTGCTATCCGCAACTCCCTGCCGCTAGATGAGCGCGAGCACTTCGGCCAGTGCAAGACTGCTAAGGAACTGTACACAGCCGTAGTTGCTCGCTACTCCTCGCCTGCGTCTGCCACCCTAGGCCGCCTCTCCCTGCCCTACCTGTTCCCCGACCTGGCCTCCTTTCACACTGTCGCTGATCTCATCACCCACCTCAAGACTAGTGAGGCCCGTTTTCGCGCTGCTATGCCTGCCGAGTTCCTTGCTAGCAACCCCCCCCCGCTCTGGCTCACCCTCTACCACATTGTCACCCGCCTCCCTGACTCTCTGCGCACAGTCAGGGACTCCTTTCTAGCTCGCTCCCCTACTGAGCTCACCATTGCCCTCCTCGAGAAGGACCTACTTGCAGCTGAGGCGAGCATCGTCGCCGTAGGTGCCTCTCGTGGCGAGCCCCGCACCCCCTTCTTCGAGGGGTGTTCCCCTTCCCCCCTTCTCCCCTCTGTCGCCACTGCTGCTGCTGTTGACCTCCTTGGTGCTGAGAAGGTCGGGGCTGCGTCTGCTTCGAGCGGGCGCCGCAAGAGCAGGGGGGGCAAGGGTGGGGGTGGAGGCGGGGGAGGCGGGGGTGGAGACAGTGGAGGTGGCGGTGGGTCTGGAGAGGCTAGTGGCGGCAGTGGGGGTGGTGACAGCGGCGGCGGGGGTGGTGGCAGAGGCGGAGGTGGCAGCGGCGGCGGTGGCGGTCGTGGCCGTGGCAGGGGTGGAGGTGGCCGAGGCGGTGGCGGTGGCGGTGGTGGTGGTGGCCGTGGAGACGCTGGAGGTGGCCAGAGTCAGCAGCACGCCCCGACCCTCCAGGCCGCCCGTGAGTGGTATGCGCAGCGTGGGTACACTTGCACGTACGTCATCCGCACTGGTGACCGCACTGGCCAGCCATGTGGGAGGCCGCACCCCACGCAGCGCTGCTTCCAGCGCCTGACTGACGCGTGGCGCATCCAGTTTCCTGGGTCTACTGAGCTCCCCCGCTGGCCTGAGCTGGAAAAGAAGGGTGTTGATATCTGGGCTTTAGACTTTGATGCTATTCTCACTGCTATGTATGCGATGTCTATTAGTGGAGAGGGTGCCCAGTACTTGCGTGTTCCGCCCGACCCGGGCATTCAGGCCAGCCCAGCTGCTGCTCTAGGTGCTAGTGTGTCTGCTCCCACAGGTCCTGCTGCAGCAGCTGCCCTAGGTGCTAGTGCGTCTGTGCCCCCTGGTACTGAGTCGACTGCAGCACTGCACACCTTCACACTGGACTCAGGTGCTTCTCGCTCTTTCTTTCGTGACCGCACTGTCCTTGAGCCACTAGCTCGGCCGGTTGCTGTCTCTCTTGCTGACCCCTCTGGGGGTCCGGTCATTGCGACCTCCTCCACTACACTTCCGTGTCCAGCGGTTCCGTCCGGCACGCTCTCAGGTCTCTACCTCCCCTCGTTCTCTACGAACTTGGTGGCAGGTTGTGCGCTGCAGGACGGGGGTGTTCACCAGTTCACCCCTGCCTACGAGCGTGTGACACACTGCACGTGTGCTCGGACGGGCCGCCACCTGGCTACTTTCACTCGAGAGCCGGGGTCGGACCTGTACACACTGACCACTGAGTCCCCTCAGGTAGCTGCGTCTGCGTCTGCGTCAGGTCAGCTGTCCGCCCCCTGCTCGTGTCGCTCTCTGGCGCATGAGACTGTCCTCTGGCACCACCGCCTTGGTCACCCGTCTGTGCAGCGCCTTCGGGCCATGCACAAACGGGACCTTGTTGCTGGTCTTCCCAGGGTGCTCCCTCCCCTTCCCGACTCCCCTGCTCCTGACTGCATTCCCTGTGTCGAGGGGCGGCAGCGCGCCGCTCCTCACTCCTCCTCCTTTCCCCCGACGACTGCTCCCTTGCAGACGCTCCACATGGACGTGTGGGGCCCAGCCCGCGTCCGTGGTCAGGGTCAGGAGAGGTACTTCCTGATAGTTGTTGACGACTACTCGCGCTACACCACGGTCTTCCCCTTGCGCGCCAAGGGTGACGTCCCTGGTGTTTTGATCCCCTGGATCAGCCGAGCCCGTCTCCAGCTAGGCAAGCGCTTTCACTCGGACTTTCCTGTCCTGCGCTTGCACTCTGACAGAGGTGGTGAGTTCGCCTCCGACCTCTTGGCAGCCTACTGTGCTGAGCACGGCATTGAGCAGTCGTTCACGCTTCCGGCCTCTCCGCAGCAGAATGGGGTCGCTGAGCGCCGCATTGGCCTAGTCATGGAGGTCGCTCGTACCTCCCTGACCCATGCGGCTGCTCCCCACTTTCTGTGGCCGTTTGCGGTCCGATACGCTGCGCATCAGCTCAACCTCTGGCCCCGTGTCTCCTTGCCGGAGACTTCCCCGACTCTGCGGTGGACGGGAGAGGTTGGCGATGCGTCGCGTTTCCGGGTCTGGGGATCTCGAGCTTTTGTCCGCGACACGTCCGCGGACAAGCTCTCGCGTCGCGCCGTTCCCTGTGTCTTTCTTGGCTTTGTGCCTGACGCGCCTGGATGGCAGTTTTACCACGTCACCTCGCGCCGGGTTCTGGCCTCTCAGGACGTCACTTTTGACGAGTCCGTCCCCTTCTACCGCCTCTTCCCCTACCGCACTGCCCCGCTCCCCCCCCCCGCCTCTCTTCCTCGCTCCAGGTGCTGAGGTACCAGACCCCCTCCCCCCTCAGGGTGCCGCTCCCTCAGGTGTGTCCCAGGTAGACCCGGGTGAGCCTGTCGAGGTAGCTGTTGACTCGCGTCCTGCGTCTGGGGGTGCTGAGCCTGGGGGTGCTGAGTCTGGGGGTGCTGAGTCTGGGGGTGCGGAGCCTGGGGGTGCTGAGCCTGGAGGTGCGGAGCCTGGCGGTGCGGAGCCTGGAGGTGCGGAGCCTGGAGGTGCGGAGCCTGGAGGTGCTGAGTCTGGGGGTGCTGAGTCTGGGGGTGCTGAGTCTTCGGGTGCTGAGCCTGAGCGTACTACACCTGGAGGAGCCCTCTCCTCCCAGCAGCTGCAGGAGAGGTACCTCGAGTACTGCCGCCTCCGGAGAGGTGCTTCTGGAGCTCGTCCCAGTACTTCCCCTCCTACCCAGGAGCTCCCCCCCATTCAGGTGATCCGAGAGTGGTACACACGGCGCTGCAGTCTTCGGAGTGGTGCTCCTGGTGCTGCGGACCCGAGCGGTGGCGCTGTTGCTGGTGCTGAGGACCCGGACGCTGGAGCTGCTGCTGGTGCTGAGGACCCGGGCGTTGGAGCTGCTGCTGGTGCTGAGGACCCGACCGGCGGCGCTACTGCTGGTGCTGAGGACCTGACCGGTGGCTCTGCTGCTGGTACTGAGGACCCGGGCGTTGGAGCTGCTGCTGGTGTTGAGGACCCGGGCGTTGGAGCTGCTGCTGGTGCTGAGGACTCGGGCGTTGGAGCTACTGCTGGTGCTGAGGACCCGACCGGTGGCGCTGCTGCTGGTGCTGAGGACCCGGGTGTTGGAGCTGCTGCTGGTGCTGAGGACTCGGGCGTTGGGGCTGCCGCTGGTGTCCCTGCTGGTTCTGGAGACGCTGCGCGGCCGCGACCGTACTTCGTACCGCTCCTTCAGCAGGTTCTTGGTCAGGCTCCTCCTCCTAGTCCTCCTCCCTCCGTCGAGTGTCCTCTGCCTGTCCAGCCGCAGTCACTGTTACCGCCTGCCTCGCCTCTCCCTGCTCCCTCTCCTTACGCTGGTCCCACAGGAGGTCTTACAGAGCGTCGTGAGCCTGAGTCTCGTCCTGCGTCGCCTGTTCGTACTACTCGCACTGGTCGTCGTGTCCCGCGTGAGCGTCCTCCTCCTGTCCCTGGCACTCACTACATGACTTTGCGTCCCTCCACTGCTCCGCAGCGTGTCCCGCTGCCGTCTCCTCCTGCGTCCTCTCTTCCTACTCTTCCTGACCCGGAGTCTGACTCCCGTCGTGCGGCCAGTCCCACTGTTACGCGTCTCCTCGCTACAGTTGTCACTGACCCGACCTTTGAGTCCTCTGCTGCGTCTGCTCTGGTCGCTGAGTTGGTTGACTTTGCTGCTCGCTGTCGCTTAGACTACGCTGCCAGCCTTGTCGCTGAGTCTGAGTCTGCCTGTCCTCCGTCCGTCGGGGGTGAGAGTGCTCTTGGCACGGACGTCCTTGAGGACAGACAGGAGGAGTTCCAGTGCTTTGCTGCTGCTTTGCCCCATCTCGTGTCCATGCTTGTTGCCCCTGAGGGAGACCCGGATGCACCAGACATCCCGACCCCGCGCTCTTACGCTGAGGCGATGGCGGGTCCCTACTCCTCTCAGTGGCAGACAGCCATGGACGCAGAGATGGCTTCCTGGAAGTCCACAGGCACCTACGTCGACCAGGTTCCCCCTCCTGGGGCGAACATCGTCAGTGGCATGTGGATTTTCAGGGTGAAGCGGCCGCCGGGTTCTCCTCCTGTCTTCAAGGCACGCTACGTGGCTCGAGGCTTCAGTCAGCGAGAGGGAGTCGACTTCTTCCAGACCTTCTCCCCCACCCCGAAGATGACCACTCTTCGGGTGCTGCTGCACATAGCCGCTCACCGCGACTACGAGCTTCACTCACTTGACTTCAGCACTGCTTTCTTGCAGGGCAGCCTGCACGAGGAGATCTGGTTGCGCCGCCCTCCTGGCTTCACTGGGTCGGTTCCTCCTGGCACCCAGTGGAGGCTTCAGCGGCCGGTCTACGGTCTCCGCCAGGCGCCACGTGAGTGGCACGACACACTGAGGACGACGCTTGCGGCTCTTGGGTTCGCTCCCTCTACTGCTGACCCGTCGCTGTTTCTACGCACCGACACCTCGCTACCGCCGTTCTACATCCTCGTGTACGTTGACGACTTGGTCTTTGCCACTGCTGACACAGCGGCACTCGCCCACGTGAAGTCGGAGCTGCAGAGGAGACACACGTGCACAGATCTGGGTGAGCTGACAAGCTATCTTGGCTTGCGGATCACCCGGGACAGAGCACGGCGCACCATCACCTTGACTCAGTCACACATGGTGCAGCAGGTTCTCCAGCGCTTCCGCTTCACGTACTCCTCGCCTCAGTCCACTCCTCTGCCTACCGGTCACTCGCTCTCAACTCTGCCTTCGGATGAGTCCGTAGAGCCGAGTGGCCCGTATCCAGAGCTTGTGGGCTGCCTCATGTACCTGATGACCTGCACTCGACCTGACCTTGCATACCCCCTTAGCATCTTAGCACGCTATGTCGCTCCTGGCCGTCACAGGAAGGAGCACATGGATGCTGCTAAGAGGGTGTTGCGCTACTTGTGCAGTACGTCGGGCATGGGGCTTGTGCTTGGAGGGCGAGACCGGGTTGTTCTCACAGGGCACTCAGACGCTTCTTGGGCAGACGACCAGGCTACTCAGCGGTCGTCACAGGGTTACACCTTCAGCCTTGGCTCTGGCTCAGTTTCTTGGCGTTCTACTCGTTCGTCTTCTGTTCTCAGCTCCAGTTGTGAGGCTGAGATCTACGCCACAGCCATGGCTGCTCAGGAGCTGCGCTGGCTGACCTACCTGCTGACCGACCTCGGAGAGCGGCCTCGTTCTCCTCCAGTGCTGTACGTCGACAACAAGGCTGCCATTGCCTTGTGTGAGGAGCACATACTGGAGCACAGAACGAAGCACATTGCCCTGCGGTACTTCCTTGCTCGAGAGCTGCAGCAGCGCGGTCAGCTTCGTCTGCGTTACGTGGCCACTGAGGCCAACACTGCTGATGTGTTCACCAAGGCACTCCAGCCTTGTGACCATCAGCGCTTCTGTACTTTGTTAGGCCTTGTGCCTACTGGACCTCACTTGCTCACTTCTTGACTTTGCCTGTACTGTGATCACTATATATTTATATACCTGCATGTTTACTCTTGCTAGGTTGTGATCATTGTACGTCTTGCTCTATTATAAACCTGCATGTGAACTGGTCTTGTGACCGCTTGCTTGTGCTCGGAATTTGTGTGGAATCCTCGAGATCCACCCTGAGCTTGTTTGCCTTGCTTTGCCTTGACTGGTCTTGTGACCCCTAGGTCTCTCCCACTTTGCCTATTGGGGGTGTGTCAAACATTATATGTTTGTATTGTTCTAGCCTGTAGTGGGTGATACCTTAGGGGGTACACCTAGTTAGGGTTTCACATTTGTACTCCTGTTTCTCTTAGTCACACTCATTCCAGTCTCGTAATCTTGACAGGAGGTCCCTGACCAATCGCTCTCGCTTCACTCCCAGGAACTTTCCAGCATAATTGCAGGTCCATGAACTCACAAATGACGTCTTTACGTTGAAGAAAAAACCTCGTTCCGGACGTCTGTAGCCCCAAGAAGCGAGAACAGCCGCACCTGTGCAGATCATGGAGCAGGCAATTTTTCGTCGTGGAGGTCCCTGACCAATCGCTCTCGCTTCACTCCCAGGCACTTTCCAGCATAATTGCAGGTCCATGAACTCACAAATGACGTCTTTACGTTGAAGAAAAAACCTCGTTCCGGACGTCTGTAGCCCCAAGAAGCGAGAACAGCCGCACCTGTGCAGATCATGGAGCAGGCAATTTTCCGTCGTGGAGGTCCCTGACCAATCGCTCTCGCTTCACTCCCAGGCACTTTCCAGCATAATTGCAGGTCCATGAACTCACAAATGACGTCTTTACGTTGAAGAAAAAACCTCGTTCCGGACGTCTGTAGCCCCATGAAGCGAAAACAGCCGCACCTGTGCAGATCATGGAGCAGGCAATTTTCCGTCGTGGAGGTCCCTGACCAATCGCTCTCGCTTCACTCCCAGGCACTTTCCAGCATAATTGCAGGTCCATGAACTCACAAATGACGTCTTTACGTTGAAGAAAAAACCTCGTTCCGGACGTCTGTAGCCCCATGAAGCGAAAACAGCCGCACCTGTGCAGATCATGGAGCAGGCAATTTTCCGTCGTGGAGGTCCCTGACCAATCGCTCTCGCTTCACTCCCAGGCACTTTCCAGCATAACTGCAGGTCAATGAACTCACAAATAACGTCTTTACATTGAAGAAAAAACCTCGTTCCGGACGTCTGTAGCCCCAAGAAGCGAAAACAGCCGCACCTGTGCAGATCATGGAGCAGGCAATTTTCCGTCATGGAGGTCCCTGACCAATCGCTCTCGCTTCACTCCCAGGCACTTTCCAGCATAACTGCAGGTCAATGAACTCACAAATGACGTCTTTACATTGAAGAAAAAACCTCGTTCCGGACGTCTGTAGCCCCAAGAAGCGAGAACAGCCGCACCTGTGCAGATCATGGAGCAGGCAATTTTCCGTCGTGGAGGTCCCTGACCAATCGCTCTCGCTTCACTCCCAGGCACTTTCCAGCATGATTGCAGGTCCATGAACTCACAAATGACGTCTTTACATTGAAGAAAAAACCTCGTTCCGGACGTCTGTAGCCCCAAGAAGCGAGAACAGCCGCACCTGTGCAGATCATGGAGCAGACAATTTTCCGTCGTGGAGGTCCCTGACCAATCGCTCTCGCTTCACTCCCAGGCACTTTCCAGCATGAATGAAGGTCCATGAACTCACAAATGACATCTTTACATTGAAGGAAAGCCTCGTTCCGAACGTCTGTAGCCCCAAGAAGCGAAAACAGCCGCACCTGTGCAGATTATGGAGCAGGCAATTTTCCGTCGTGGAGGTCCCTGACCAATCGCTCTCGCTTCACTCCCAGGCACTTTCCAGCATAATTGCAGGTCCATGAACTCACAAATGACGTCTTTACATTGAAGAAAAAACCTCGTTCCGGACGTCTGTAGCCCCAAGAAGCGAGAACAGCCGCACCTGTGCAGATCATGGAGCAGGCAATTTTCCGTCGTGGAGGTCCCTGACCAATCGCTCTCGCTTCACTCCCAGGCACTTTCCAGCATAATTGCAGGTCCATGAACTCACAAATGACGTCTTTACATTGAAGAAAAAACCTCGTTCCGGACGTCTGTAGCCCCAAGAAGCGAGAACAGCCGCACCTGTGCAGATCATGGAGCAGGCAATTTTCCGTCGTGGAGGTCCCTGACCAATCGCTCTCGCTTCACTCCCAGGCACTTTCCAGCATAATTGCAGGTCCATGAACTCACAAATGACGTCTTTACGTTGAAGAAAAAACCTCGTTCCGGACGTCTGTAGCCCCAAGAAGCGAGAACAGCCGCACCTGTGCAGATCATGGAGCAGGCAATTTTCCGTCGTGGAGGTCCCTGACCAATCGCTCTCGCTTCACTCCCAGGCACTTTCCAGCATAATTGCAGGTCCATGAACTCACAAATGACGTCTTTACGTTGAAGAAAAAACCTCGTTCCGGACGTCTGTAGCCCCAAGAAGCGAGAACAGCCGCACCTGTGCAGATCATGGAGCAGGCAATTTTCCGTCGTGGAGGTCCCTGACCAATCGCTCTCGCTTCACTCCCAGGCACTTTCCAGCATAATTGCAGGTCCATGAACTCACAAATGACGTCTTTACGTTGAAGAAAAAACCTCGTTCCGGACGTCTGTAGCCCCAAGAAGCGAGAACAGCCGCACCTGTGCAGATCATGGAGCAGGCAATTTTCCGTCGTAGAGGTCCCTGACCAATCGCTCTCGCTTCACTCCCAGGCACTTTCCAGCATAATTGCAGGTCCATGAACTCACAAATGACGTCTTTACGTTGAAGAAAAAACCTCGTTCCGGACGTCTGTAGCCCCAAGAAGCGAGAACAGCCGCACCTGTGCAGATCATGGAGCAGGCAATTTTCCGTCGTGGAGGTCCCTGACCAATCGCTCTCGCTTCACTCCCAGGCACTTTCCAGCATAATTGCAGGTCCATGAACTCACAAATGACGTCTTTACGTTGAAGAAAAAACCTCGTTCCGGACGTCTGTAGCCCCAAGAAGCGAGAACAGCCGCACATGTGCAGATCATGGAGCAGGCAATTTTCCGTCGTGGAGGTCCCTGACCAATCGCTCTCGCTTCACTCCCAGGCACTTTCCAGCATAATTGCAGGTCCATGAACTCACAAATGACGTCTTTACGTTGAAGAAAAAACCTCGTTCCGGACGTCTGTAGCCCCATGAAGCGAAAACAGCCGCACCTGTGCAGATCATGTCAAAAGAGTAAGCATAAGCAGGAGCCATAGCTAGGAGAACCCTAGCTAGGCAAGAGAAAGTTTAGGCAAAAGAGGAGGTTCACTAGCAGCAATGAGGATACATATAGCAAACCCTAGATGGGTTGTACTCGCTATAGAGCACCCCACTACAGGCTAGAGAATAACATTCTGACACACCCCCATAGCCAAAGTGGGGTGTAATCAGTACAATGAGCAAGCAGGTAGAAAGCAGGTTCACAAGTGCAAGCAAAGCTAGAGGCATTCACAAAGGGCAAGTGAGGAGGAGGAGGAACTGTGGAAGGAGAGAAGATGAGAGGCGACGGCTGAAGCTGCAGACACACGGGCAACAGGAGTCAAACTGGCACAGTGGCTACCGGAACAGCGCCCCGGACTACAGGAGTAACTGGCTCCGCGGCTAAGAAGAGCGGCAGACGAGCAACGGACCCACGGGCGACTGGCGCAGCTGGCTACGACTGGGCTACCGGAACAGCGCCCCGGACTACAGGTGCTGCTGACGACAAGACGGCAGCCTCCGCTCAACCTCCCCCGACCGTCCCACGCCCCTCTCACACACCCCCTGCTGACACCCTAGCTCCACTTCCACGGCACCCCCCTTAAACCCTAAACCTCGGCTCCCACACATCCACCCCCCTCAGCGGCAGCTGCAGCAGTGGGAGACGGAGGAGGAGGAGGAGCAGGGGACGGCGCACACACACGGCACCCCCAGAGCTGCCACCCCCACACTCCGCACCCCAAAACCCTAAAAACGGGCGGAACGGGGGAAGGAGCGCGGGGGACGGCGAGGGGGACGGCGCTCGGCCCCCAGAACGCGACCACGGGGCAGAGAGGGGCCGCGCGCGGCTCCCCAGGGCGGCGCGACGGGAAATCGGGGCCGCGGGGGGGTCGCGCGCGGCTCCCCAGGGCGGCACGACGGGAAATCGGGGCCGCGGGGGGTCGCGCGCGGCTCCCCAGGGCGGCACGACGGGAAATCGGGGCCGCGGGGGGTCGCGCGCGGCTCCCCAGGGCGGCACGACGGGAAATCGGGGCCGCGGGGGGTCGCGCGCGGCTCCCCAGGGCGGCACGACGGGAAAACGGGGCCGCGGGGGGTCGCGTGCGGCTCCCCAGGGCGACGGGATCGCGGGGCCGCGGGCGACGGGACCGGAGGGCCGCGGGCGACGGGATCGGGGGGCCGCGGGCGTCCCCCACGGTAGGAAACCGCCGTGCGCCTCGGTGCGCACGGCGGGGAGAAAACCGCCGCACGCCCCGAGCGCGCGGCGGGATGAAAATGTGAAGGTCGCGCGCCACGGGGCGCGCGACACTGAGTAGGGCAGCGGAAGCAGCAGTGGGGCCCACAGGCCAGGAGCGTGAAGGCTCTGTTACCATGTCAAAAGAGTAAGCATAAGCAGGAGCCATAGCTAGGAGAACCCTAGCTAGGCAAGAGAAAGTTTAGGCAAAAGAGGAGGTTCACTAGCAGCAATGAGGATACATATAGCAAACCCTAGATGGGTTGTACTCGCTATAGAGCACCCCACTACAGGCTAGAGAATAACATTCTGACAGATCATGGAGCAGGCAATTTTCCGTCGTGGAGGTCCCTGACCAATCGCTCTCGCTTCACTCCCAGGCACTTTCCAGCATAATTGCAGGTCCATGAACTCACAAATGACGTCTTTACGTTGAAGAAAAAACCTCGTTCCGGACGTCTGTAGCCCCATGAAGCGAAAACAGCCGCACCTGTGC